GCAATAAAGACGTAAGAGAAAGATGACCTTTTCTATTTAAAAAAGAAATAACAGAATGATTCACATGACCCAGGCGAGCATGCCATAAATCAAATGAAGCACGTAAAGAATTGTTTCTAAGGACTGAAGTAAAAGTAGAGTTGCCGCACACCAGCACATATAGCTTTCCATCTCTTTTACCGGTTGCCACCACCCTTCCTATTCGACGATTCTGGACAGTAATAAGATTATTAGTAAATGTAACGGAGAGAGGAAAATCAGACGTTAATTTACTTATGGAAAGAAGATTTTTGGTGAGATTAGAGACAACCAAGACATCTAATGAGTGAATATTTGGAACAAGAGAAAGACTACCGGTGTGGGTAATGGGTAGGGATGCATAGTTTCCTACGATCACAGAGTTCTTACTCGTGTAATTTTTAGACTGATCCAAAATAGAAGGGTCGGCAGTCATATGGGCTGAAGCCCCAGTGTCTAGAAACCAATCAGCAGCATCGAGTCCAGCAATAGAACATGACGTGTTAAAGGCTTCAGCAAGGTGAGCATGAGAAAATCAAGTCGAACATACCGTTGGATGCAGCGATCAACATAATGGCCCTCTTTGCGGCATATATGGTAGTGAGGTGGTCGACGACCCTAACCTGAGTGGGTTCGTCCTCGATTAGAAGAGTTGTTTTTATGGGAATAAGAACGACCTCGTTGGTTGCTAAAGGAAGCAGGGTGGCTTCCATGGGTGCGACCACAATTAGTGGTTGTGAATGCTGTAGGAGTGGAGTCAGAGGACTCAAGGGAGCGCTGGAACAACTCAAAACTTTCAGCTTTAGGGACTAAATCTGCAAAACAGGGGATAGGGGTGAGAGCCATCTGATCAGCAGAAAAAGTTAAAAAATTCGGTGCCAAGTCCACGAAGGAACCAGTGCACTTTATCAATGTTCTCGACGAGTCTGCCAATGGCATGAAGTTAGTCACAAATTGTTATGAAGGCACGAGCATACTCAGCAACACGTTTGGTGCCATGTTTCATCAGCTGCAAGTCATCCTTGAGTCTCAGTTCATGAGCTTTTGAATGATGGCTGAACGTAGTTTCCAACGCAAGCCAAACATCACGTGCAGTAGAGAGACCAACGACAACAGTCATGGCTTCCTCGGTGAGAGAGGAGAGCAAGAGACAGAGAAGTCGTTGATCGGTTGCTCTCCATGCCAAATATTTGGGGTTGAGTGTTGAGGAGGTTTCCGGTTCAAAGCGAGGTGGTAGAACCATAGTTCCATCAACATAGCCCAACATGTCTTGACTCTAAAGAAGAGGGAGGAGTTGACTTTTCCAAAGAAGATAATTGGAGGAAGAAAGTTTGATGGTGATCATATGGATTAGAGTATTGAAAGAAACAAGATGATAAGAGGATTCGGAAGTCATTGAGAAGAAAGAATCAGGGTTGTTAAATCGAAAGGGCTCTAATACCATGTAAATGTTTGCTGAATTCACCACACCTAAATGGTGGTGAGAATTCTCTTATTTATAATCATTTACAAAATACGAAATATGGTAAATTACCAATAATATGGAAATAACAACAAAAGGAAAGAATAATAAATGAATACAATATATTTTCCTTTAATAAAAGAGCAAATATGGTAAGTCGTAATGTAAGGCAAATATCTAGATATTTGTCTTATAATAAACGGTCAACTATCCTTAACAGTCGTCAGCCTCACAGTTTAAAAACGCGTATGCTAAGGAGAGCTTTCCACATCTTTATAAGGAATGCTTTGTTCCCCTCTCCAACCGATGTGAGATCTCACACCAAGGGATGGTAAGATTTTAGGTTGTTGAACTAACCACGCCATCACCTTCTTCTTCTAAAAGGAAGGAAACGCATGTGAACCGTTGCACCATCGTCTAAAAATCCATCTCCCTAGCTCCGTTTTGAGTTTTTCTCTCTTTGGTTTCTTCATGAGACTTATAGATGGTGCTTCAAGGAAGAGCTAAGGATTGATTTCATACCTTCTCACAAATTGTAGCCTAAGTTATAACTTCCAAAATTTGTCGGAGAAACTTATCCTCACTAGAATTCATACCCAGAAACTCTTTATTGGCAGCCTATTCTAGAGCTTTTCAAGACTTTATTTCTCAGAGAAATTTATTCTTTATATTTTTCTCTAGCGAAAGAATTTATTTTGGAACGATGCCTTTAAGCGTGTGGTCTTAATTTTAGAATTTGATCCTCGACTTGCAACTTACCGAAAAATGCATAAATTGGAGTTCTTGGGCAACTCAATTCTTACGTTCTTAGGCCATGACTCCTTCATGAAACTTATCCATCTTAGTCCCCTAAAGCTTAATATCATAGGTTTGGGACGAGATGGACTGTTTGAAAATTATTCCAAAAATATTTTCTTTAATTGAGCACCCTCTTGGACTTGTTAACCTTGGTGGTCTTCTATGAAAATGTTCATTGGAGGTGCAAAAACTGAATGTGATAGGTTTCTCTTGACGTATTTGCCTATAGGCTCGGATTGAATTTCAAGCTTCAACCTTCTTCCTTTGGCCGACTGAATTGGATTATGTTTGGGGCACTTTCAACACTTGATTCCTTCCCCGATCTTGTGGGTAATCTTGTTTAGGAGGTATATGAGCAAGTTTGAGGGGAAATAGTGGGCTATATCTCTTGAATTTAGAAGAAATCTACGGAAAAAAAAAATCAAAAAACTAAACGTTGATATCTTGTGTTGGAGGCTCGACCTTGCTTAATTTTTGTTCCAAATGAAAGCCTCTACTTCAGATTTTACAGAGAGAACTTAAACTAACATTCAAACTTCGGGGAACACCATGAATTTTAGGTTGAGTTTTCTAGATTTTTCATTGAAAATATATTCTCTAATTAGTTTGCCATCACATTTTGAAATCTGGCTATTGGATAGGATGAGTTGTGCCTCCCCTAGAACATACTCGGCAGAAAACCAAGATACAATGAACAAGATTCTCATGGTCGCGGATATGATTTTCTAATATGTGGCATTTTTGTAATTTCTCTTAAGTTCAAGAGTATTTTGGTAATTTTCCACTTTTAAATATTTTATTATTATTTTTTTAGAAAAAAATAGAATTTTTTTTTTTTAAAAAAATATTTCTTACACCTTGGTAGTCATTTTTTCCTTTTTTTTAACATCTAGAAATCCTTCTCCATCAGGAATTAAAATCTTAAGAATTAAAAAAATGATACTTTTACCCTTTAGGCTTATTTTTTCCTCACGAATCGAAGAAGCCATCTAAGTCGAGTTGTAACCATCAAGTTGACTATAAGCCATTCGGAGATAAGCGACGAGAATCAAGTTGAGGCACGAGCAGTAGTTTAGGGGTTGGCTCGGCACATGCACTGCAATTGGAAGAGGCATGTCTATGTATAGAGTCAATGCGCAGGTTGCAGGGGACAAGTCGCCCAAGTTCTGAGCTGAAACTGAAGTGGTATGTCTAGGTCTAAAGTCAATGAGTAGGTTGCAGGGGGCAGGCCACCTTACGTTCTGAGCTAAAACTGTGGACTGGGTTGGACCGTACATTGTGTATGAATCGAAATTGCGAATGGGCCTAACAATTGCGGCAGGGATCTTGGGCTGTGAATTTGGTTGGGCCACGAACGCCTCCCATTATTCCAAAAGACTTCCACAAACCCCCGACAACAGTTTCTCGGGTTCGATCCCCGGCAACAGTGGTTGGTTTTTTTGATTTTATTTTGGTAGTTTTAACGGAATTCGAAACTGGACAGCGGTGAACCTGTCATGCCGATAGTTTGGGTTCGATCCCCAACAATGGTAGTTTGAGCTGGATTTCTTTTCCTAAAAAGTGGTGGATGAAATCTCGCGCGTTAACAAATAGTACATTTTCAGAGGTCGTTGTAGAGGTACAGTGGTGAGTATTTCCGCTTGTCACTCAATTTATTATGTTCTAGAGGTCGTTGTAGTACAAGGGGGAGTATTTCTGCTTGTCACTCGAGTGACCTGAGTTTGATCCCCAACAATAACAAGTTTAATTTTGTTCTGACAATTTTAATCCGATTACTTTTTCTAACGACGGTTGATAAAAAATCTGGTGCGTTAACAAATGTTATACTTTTCGAAAGTCGTCGTTGTATAGTGGTGAGTGTTCCCACCTGTCACGCGGGTGACCCGAGTCTGATCCCCCGCAACGATGATTTTAATTTTCTTTTGGATAGTTTTAATTGAATTCGAAATTCGGCAGTGGTGAACCGGATGGTTTGGGTTTGTTCCCCAACGACAAAGTTCAGAATTGGATTCCTTTTCCTCTCGGGTGTGTGTTAACAAATAATATATTTTTCAGAGGTCGGTGTAATATAGTAGTGAGTATTCCCGCTTGTCACTCGAGGGACCTGAGCTTAAATCCCAACAACAATGAGTTTAATTTTCTTTTGACAATTTTCACCGGATTTGAAATTGGATTACTTGTTCTGAAGACGATTGATAAAATCTAGAGCGTTAACAAATAATTCCTTTTTGATGAGTCATTGTAGTATAGTGGTGAGTATCACGCAGGCGACCTGGGTTCGATCCCTAGTAACGACAGTTTGTTTTTTTTAATTTTATTTTGGTAGTTTTAAGAGAATTGTAATTTTATTTTAGTAGTTTTAAGGGAATTTGAAACTGGAAAAAGTGGTTTATCTTTGTAATTTTAAATTGTTGTAATTTTATTTTGGTAGTTTTAAGGGAATTGGAAACTTGAAAAAAGTGGGTTATGGAATCTGTGTGTTAACCAATAATACATTTTCAATGGTAGTAGTTTTACAAGTAGTTTTCTATTTGGTTTCAAATAGCTAGGAGTTTATTTGTTTTTTTTTATTTTGAAAACACTGAACAAACAAATGCCACGTGATTTAGGATTTGTTTTTTTATTTTGAAAACACTTTACAAAATTTGCAAGTGATTCAGGAAGCTTTGCTACTTCATGTGTTTCTAAATTGGATGGAGACTACGAGTATTGGAGTTCTGTCATGAAAAATCTCTTGCGTTCCAATGAATATTGGAGTGCTATTCAATCTGGTTTCGAGGAACCAAAAGAAAACGAACCACTAAGCGCAGTCGAGCAAAAAGAAATCGATGAAGCAAGGCTCAAAAATCTCAAAGCAAAGAATTATCTCTTTCAATCCATTGATAAGAGTTTTTTGAAAACTATCATTCAAAAGGATACTGTCAAGCAATTGTGGGATTCAATCAAACACAAATATCAAGAAAATGCTAGAGTGAAGCGAGCCCAGCTACAACGACTTTGTAGAACATTCGAAACTTTAGAGATGAAAGCAGGAGAAGGTGTTTCTGAGTATTTTACAAGAGTTATGTCTACTGCTAATGACATGAGGAATTGCGGAGAAGATATGCCGGATGTCAAAATTGTTGAGAAAATACTTCGAAGTCTCACCGATAAATTCAACTTTGTAGTATGCTCAATTGAAGAATCTAAGGACATTGATCAATTAACAGTCGATGAATTACAAGCATCTTTGCTTGTACATGAACAAAAGGTGATTGATAAGAGTAAAGAGCAGGTTCTGCCGGTGGAGAATATACAAAGATATGGACAAGGAAGAGGCAGAGGGACATTTCAGAGAGGAAGAGTTTACTCTAGAGGATGGGGAAGAGGTAGATCTTTTGTGAACCGGTCGGCCATCAACTATTTTCAATGTGGAAAGCAAGGAGGAAGAATGTTATTGATGGCGTACACAAAGAAAGGTAAAGTTGAAAGAGAAGGCATTTGGTTTCTCGATTCCGGGTGCTCAAATCATATGACAGGGGACAAAACATGGTTCGTTGAGCTTTACAAAAGTTTCAAACACACTGTTAGGTTGGGAAATAGCTCAAAATTGGCAGTTGAAGGAAGAGACAGTGTCAGATTCGAAGTTGAAGGTATCACACAAATCGTGACAAATGCCTACTATGTCCTCAATCTCACTAACAATTTGCTAAGCATAGGGCAGCTACAGGAGAAGCGCTTGGTGATCTTAATCAAAGAAAGAACCTATAGAATCTATCTTTTACAAAGGGGTCTGATAATGAACACATAAATGACGGTGAATCGCAAGTTCTCAGTTCATGCATAGATGAAGCCATTGGTTGACAAATGTTGAAAATAGAAGATGAAGACTTTGAGACTATGTGGCACAAGAGGTATGGGCATTTGAATAGTAAATCTATTCAAATCATGCAACAAAAACAAATGGTGGAAGGATTACCCAAATTAAAGGAAGTTGTCAAAGTTTGCACAATTTGCAATGTTGGGAAGCAACGGCAAAAATTTCCAAAGAAAAGCAAATGGAAAGCGTCAAACCAACTGAAATTGATTCATGGAGATCTTTGTGAACCCATCACTCCACCTCTCAAAGTGGTAAAAGGTATTTGCTAGTACTTGTAGATGATTTTTCTCACAAGACATAAATTTATTTTCTTGCATATAAATTAGAAGCTTTTGAAACATTCAAAAATCTTGTTGAAATTGAAGCAAAAACAGCCATACGTGGACTCAGAACTGACCGGAGAGAAGAATTTACGTCAAATGAATTCAACAAGTTCTGCTAAGATAACGGGATCAAGCGACAACTAATAACTACTTACACTCTCCGGAAAAACGGAGTTGCAGAAAAAAGGAACTGGACAATCATGAACATGGTACGGTGTCTTTTATCTGAGAAAAGATGCCGAAGAAGTTGTGGGCGGAATTAGCAAGATGGGCAGCTCATGTTCTGAATCACAGTTACACAAAGGCAATCAAGGACATGGTTCCTGAGGAGAAGTAGTCGGGCATAAAACCAAATGTGGAATACTTCAGAGTATTTGGTTCAATTGCACATGTCCATATTCCCGAACAGAAGAGAACCAAAGTTGACGATTAAAGTCTCAAATGCGTCTTACTTGGAGTTAGTGATGAATCTAAGGCCTATCGCCTATATGACCCAACAACAAAGAAGATAATTGTGAGCAGGGATGCCATATTTAAAGAAGGTGCAAAATGGGACTGGAATTCAAGTACAAAAAATGTAGAGCAGGATGCGTTGGCTTGGGAGATGATGATAAAATTGTTGTAGAAGAATTGGAAGGAGGAGAGACTGATGGAGAAGGAGATTCAAATGAAGAAGCAAATGGCAAGTTAGAAGAAATCCAATAGATGGATGAATCTTCCCCAGAGTTACCACAACAAACAAGACAAAGAAGAGAGCCAGTTTGGATGCGCGATTATGAAACAAGTGAACACCTATTTGAAGAAGAAGAAGTCGATGAGGGGTTTGCTTTTCACATCTCCAATGATGATCCTGTGAACTTTGAAGAAGCAGTAAAGGAAAAGAAGTGGCAGGAGGCTATGAAGCTTGAACTTCAAGCTATTGAAAGAAATCAGACATGGGAGCTTGTGACATTGCCAGATCAAGCAAAGAAAATCAGTGTCAAATGGGTCTTTAAGACGAAACTGAATGAAGAAGACAAAGTAGACAAATGTAAAGAGATAATCGTCGCTAAGGGATACTCGCAGAAGGATGGAGTAGATTATAATGAAGTTTATGCACCAGTAGCTCAATGGGATACAATCAAAATTCTAGTGGCAGTTGCAGCTTAACGTGCACGGTGCATCTATCAACTTGACGTCAAAAATGCTTTTCTATACGGTAAATTAAATGAGGAGGTATATGTTGATCAGCCTGAAAGTTTTGTAAAAAAGGGAGAAGAGAACAAGGTTTATCAACTGAGGAAAGCTCTCTACGGCTTGAAACAAGCACCGAGGGCTTGGTTCAGCAAAATCGAGAGCTATTTTATTAAGGAAGAATTTGAGAAAAGTAATTATGATCACACCTTGTTCTTGAAGAGAAATGGAAGAAAATTGTTGTTGGTGTGCAAATGTTTCAAGTTATCAATGCAACCGGAGTTTGAGATGACAGACTTTGGGAAAATGAAGTTCTTCCTTGGAGTTGAAGTTTATCAAAATGAAGGAGGAAATCATTTGTGCCAAAAGAAATATGCTAAGGAAGTATTGAAAAGGTTCAATATGTCGAATTGTAATGCTGTAAAGAATCCGATAGTCTTTGGCATCTTCTTGTCAAAGTCAGGCAGCAAAAGTGTCAATGCAACATTGTACAAACAACTAGCAGGATGCTTAATGTACCTTACGGTAACTCTTTACGACTTAATGTTTGTGGCTTGCTTGATTTCTCGTTGTATGGCTAATCCCAAAGAAGAACATATGCTGATTGCTAAAAGGGTATTGAGATATTTAAAATGCACATTAGATGTTTGAGTTTATTACAAATGAAGTAAGGATGTAAATCTTTTGGGATACACCGACAGTGATTATGCGTGAGATATTACGACAAGAAGAGCACTTCAGGCTATGTTTTCTTTCGAAATGGAGAAGCAATATGTTGGACTTCAAGGAAGCAAGGAATTGTTACACTATCATCTACAGAAGCTGAATATGTAGCTGCCACTACAAGTGCATGTCATGGTGTTTGGCTTAAGGGAATTCTGAAGGAGCTAGGTGTTCTAAGCAGCGAGTGCATCGATATCATGTGTGACCGTAGTTCAACAATTAAATTGTCTAAGAACCCAGTTATGCATCGAAACACAAAACATATTGATGTCAGGTATCATTACTGGCATAATTTGTCAACTAATAAGACTGCAGGATTAGTATTTTGCGGAACTGAAGATCAAGTGGCAGACATAATGACTAAGACAAATTAAGCTAGATCAATTTGTGAAATTCATAGGCATGCTTGAGTTCACAACTTGAATAAAATGATGATGTTTCAGCATATTTCAGTTTAAGGAGAGGAATTTGTTAGAGTTTCTGACTTGGTCTACAACGTTGTAGCTAATTAATAGGCAATAGTTTTCTATTTGTTTTCAAATAGCTAATTTGTAGGAGTTGATTTGTTTTCTAATTTTGTTGGTTTGTTATTTTGTTTTGTAAGACTTTAAAAAAGCTATACTTATCCTTCAATAAATATTAATCAGTTCCCTTTAGTAGTGGTACACTAGTGAGTATTTTGGCTTGTCACTCGAGTTATTATGTTCTAGAGGTCTTTGTAGTACAAGGAAGAGTATTCCTGCTTGTCACTCGAGTGACCTGAGTTTGATCTCCAACAATAACAAGTTTAATTTTGTTTTGACAATTTTAATAAGATTACTTTTTCTAACGACGGTTGATAAAAACTTGGTGTGTTAACAAATGTTATATTTTTCGAAACTTATCGTTGATAGTGGTGAGTGTTCCGGCCTGTCACGCGGGTGACTGAGTCTGATCCCCCACAGCGACGATTTTAATTTTCTTTTGGATAGTTTTAATTGAACTCAGAATTGGGTAATGGTGAATCAGATGGTTATTCGAAATTGGATTTCTTTTTCTCTCATTTGTTAACAAATAATATATTTTTCAAAGGTCAGTGTAATACAGTAATGAGTATTCTCGCTTGTCACTTGAGAGACCTGAGTTTGAACCTCAACAATAATAAGTTTAATTTTCTTTGGGCAATTTTCACTGGATTTGAAATTGGATTGAAGACGATTGATAAAATCTAGAGCATTAACAATAGATTACTTTTTTTAAAGACGATTGATAAAATCCGGAGCTTTAACAAATAATTTATTTTCAATGAGTTGTTGTAGTATAGTGGTAAGTATTCCTATTAGTCATGCAGGTGACCTAGTTTCGATCCTTTGCAAATAAAACATTTTTAGAGGTCGTTGTAGTGGTACAGTGGTGAGTATTTCCACTTGTCGAGTTATTATGTTCCAGAGGTCATTGTAGTACAAAGACTCACTCGAGTGAATTGAGTTTGATCCCCAACAATAGCAAGTTTTTTAGCAATTTTTAATTACTTTTGGTGGTTGAGTTTGATTCCCAACAATAGCAAATCGGATTCAAAACTGAATTACTTTTGGTCGTTGTAGTGGTACACTGGTGAGTATTTCCGCTGTCACTCGAGTTATTATGTTCTAGAGGTCTTTATAGTACACGGACTTACTCGAGTGAATTGAATTTGATCCCCAACAATAACAAACTGGATTATTTTTTCTAACAACAATTGATAAAATCTCGTGTGTTAACAAATATTACATTTTTTAAAAGTCGTTGTATAGTGGTGAGTACTCCTGCCTGTCACACGAGTGATCGGAGTTTGATTCTTAGCAGCGACGATTTTAATTTTTTTTTGGATAGTTTTAATTGAATTCAAAATTGGAAAGTGGTAAACCATTGGTGATGATTTGTGCCTGAATCGAAATTGTGAGCGGCGGACAATTGCGGTAGGGATCTTGGTGTGTGACTTTGGATGCGCTGTGAATGCTTGTGAGGTGTTCATCTGGATACTAAGACTGATTCAAATCTGAATCCAAGCCTGACTCTAAGTTGACTTGCGGAATTCTTCTTCTTTATCCAGTTTCTACGATTTCAAATCTTATCCTTTATCTGCTTTTCAATTTGTCTCCGATCTTTTTCCAACTTTTTTCGACGGTGGTCAAAGTACCGGTTTCACCACTCGCCTCACGCGAACCTTCTCTTCTTAGTCATGATGGTGAGGGTCCTGCTGTCGCCCCAAGGCAACCAGTGGCGCGAGCAGCCCCTTGGTTTGGCGGTGCGGTGGTGACTCCAACGGCTCTCCAGTGACCTTTCTGGCGGCTCCTCGGCTGTTTTCAGCACGCCTTGCCATTTTTAGCCCGGTTACCACTGTTTCAACCCACTCAGACCTATTTTCAACTCCGACTAAGGTAATTGAGGTCATTTTAGAGTTGTATTTCACCTTGTCAGTTGAATTATTAATTAAAATGTTAAATACTAACGAAAGGTGACGAATTGTGCGATAGAAAGTGAACCCCGTCAATGTTTGGAGCAGCTCTCAAGAAATGGGAGCTTACGTTTAGCTAATTAGTGATTACATCGGCTAAGACCAACCAAGTAAGTGTCTTTACTATAGGGTAGGCTAGAATTGTTTGCGTTATAGTTTTATTTACGAGCATGATGATATATGAGTATATGATGATGTATGATGTATGATGTTTATGACGATGTATGATGCTTATGATGATGTACGAGTATGACGCTTGAGTTGTGATGCATGTTGAACGTGATTTATTTTTCGATGCACGACGCACATATTATGTTTGATGTACTTGATGGCTTATTGATGAGTATGATGTTGCATGACATTTTTCTTAATATGATGATGTTTTTCATATTGAGCATGCTATATGATGATGATTGTCATACTGCATCGTGTCGTTAGATCAACCTAGGACACAACCCTAAGAGCATGAAAATGATATTAATATAAATATTCACGAGCATGTGTTACCTAGAGTAACAGAGAGATGAGACTAGAGGGTTGTATCAGAAAAGATGTTATGATGGGATTGATATGAACCAAAAAACATCAATCATACAATATACATCAATGAAGATGTGAAGAAAAGATTGTCAAAATTATCAAAAGATGTTTTAATTCATGCCACATTGAAGAAGAATGAAGTTTGATTGTTATAAATTTTTGAGTGGGTTACAATTTAGAGTAATTTAGAGTTTTTAGAACTTTTTATTTACTTTAGGTTACAATTACATAATGCTTAATTATGACCATTAAGTCTGAAGGTTACAACTCTTAGAATGCCTTTAGTAGTTTCATTTTGAATCTATATAAAACCATATATGTTGTATTTGTAAGGGACTTGGAAAATATTGTAAAACAAGCATTTTACAACTCTTGGAATGCCTTTAGTAGTTTCATTTTGAAGCTATATAAAGCCATATATGTTG